CCCCGCGGTGAAGGCGTCCTGCACCCGCGTGGCCCAGCGGGCGCTGCCGCAGTTCACCCACGTCAGCAAAACTGGGGCGAAAAACCCAAATTTTGGGAAAATTCGGGAAAAAAAATGGAGTTTTTAGCAAAAAAAATGAAGTTTTTAGGGCAAAAAATGGATTTTTTACGGCTTTTTTTGGGGGAATAATTTGATTTTTTAGGGGGAAAATGGTCCCAAAGTGGGAGGGGAGAAAAGGGAAAAAATTGGGGGAAAATTTGGGGATTTTGGGGAAAAAATCTGGGATTTTGGGAAAAAATTGGGGATTTTTAGCTGAAAAAATGGAGTTTTTGGGGCAAAAAATGGATTTTTTATGGCTTTTTTGGGGGAATAATTTGATTTTTTAGGGGGAAAATGGACTCAAAAAAATGGGGAAAAATTTGAGGATTTTTGGGAAAAAAATCTGGGATTTTTGGGAAAAAATTTGGGATTTTTAGGTGAAAAAATGAGATTTTTAGGTGAAAAAATGGAATTTTTAGGGCAAAAAATGGGATTTTTAGAGCAAGAAATTGGGATTTTTTAGGGGAAAAATGGATTAAAAAATTGGGGAATAAAATGAAGATTTTGGGAAAAAAATTTGGGATTTTTGGGAAAAAATTTGGGATTTTTAGGGTTAAAAAAATGGAATTTTTGGAGCATTTTTGGGGTGAAAAACGGGATTTTTTTGGGGGGTGGAAATGAGGTTTGGGAGGGGCCCAGCGGGCGCTGCCGCAGTTCACCCACGTCAGCAAAACTGGGGCCAAAAACCCAAATTTTGGGAAAATTCGGGAAAAAAAATGGAGTTTTTAGCAAAAAAAATGAAGTTTTTAGGGCAAAAAATGGATTTTTTACGGCTTTTTTTGGGGGAATAATTTGATTTTTTAGGGGGAAAATGGTCCCAAAGTGGGAGGGGAGAAAAGGGAAAAAATTGGGGGAAAATTTGGGGATTTTGGGGAAAAAATCTGGGATTTTGGGAAAAAATTGGGGATTTTTAGCTGAAAAAATGGAGTTTTTGGGGCAAAAAATGGATTTTTTATGGCTTTTTTGGGGGAATAATTTGATTTTTTAGGGGGAAAATGGACTCAAAAAAATGGGGAAAAATTTGAGGATTTTTGGGAAAAAAATCTGGGATTTTTGGGAAAAAATTTGGGATTTTTAGGTGAAAAAATGAGATTTTTAGGTGAAAAAATGGAATTTTTAGGGCAAAAAATGGGATTTTTAGAGCAAGAAATTGGGATTTTTTAGGGGAAAAATGGATTAAAAAATTGGGGAATAAAATGAAGATTTTGGGAAAAAAATTTGGGATTTTTGGGAAAAAATTTGGGATTTTTAGGGTTAAAAAAATGGAATTTTTGGAGCATTTTTGGGGTGAAAAACGGGATTTTTTTGGGGGGTGGAAATGAGGTTTGGGAGGGGCCCAGCGGGCGCTGCCGCAGTTCACCCACGTCAGCAAAACTGGGGCGAAAAACCCAAATTTTGGGAAAATTCGGGAAAAAAAATGGAGTTTTTAGCAAAAAAAATGAAGTTTTTAGGGCAAAAAATGGATTTTTTACGGCTTTTTTTGGGGGAATAATTTGATTTTTTAGGGGGAAAAAGGTCCTAAAGTGGGAGGGGAGAAAAGGGAAAAAATTGGGGAAAAATTTGGGGATTTTGGGGAAAAAATCTGGGATTTTGGGAAAAAATTGGGGATTTTTAGGTGAAAAAATGGAGTTTTTAGGGCAAAAAATGTAGTTTTTAAGGCATTTTTTGGGAAATAATTGGATTTTTTAGGGGGAATATGAACTCAAAAAATTGGGGAAAAATTTGAGGATTTTGGGAAAAAATTGGGGATTTTTAGGTGAAAAAATGGAGTTTTTAGGTGAAAAAATGGAATTTTTAGAATAAAAAATGGCATTTTTCAGGGATTATTTTGGAGAAAAAAGGGAATTTTGGGGGGAAAATGGACTCAAAAAATTCAGGAAAAATCTGGGGATTTTTGGGGAAAAAATTGGGGATTTTGGGAAAAAATTTGGGATTTTTAGCAAAAAAAATGAAGTTTTTAGGTGAAAAAATGGAGTTTTTAGGGCAAAAAATGGATTTTTTACTGCTTTTTTTAATGGGAATAATTTGATTTTTTAGGGGGAAAATGGACTCGAAAAATTGAGGAAAAATTTGGGGATTTTGGGAAAAAAATTTGGGATTTTTAGCAAAAAAAATGAAATTTTTAGGTGAAGAAATGAGATTTTTAGAGCAAAAAATGGATTTTTTGTGGCATTTCTTTGGGGAAAAAATGGGATTTTTAAGTTTAGAGCAAAAAATGGATTTTTTGTGGCATTTCTTTGGGGAAAAAATGGGATTTTTAAGGAGAAAATGGACTCAAAAAATTGGGGAAAAATTTGAGGATTTTGGGAAAAAATTGGGGATTTTGGGAAAAAATTAGGGATTTTTAGGTGAAAAAATGAAGTTTTTAGGGCAAAAAATGGATTTTTTATGGCATTTTTTTGGGAAAAAAGGGAAATTTGGGGGGAAAATGGACCCAAAAAATTGGGGAAAAAAATGAAGATTTTGGGAAAAAAATTTGGGATTTTTGGGAAAAAAATTGGGATTTTTAGGGTTAAAAAATGGAATTTTTGGAGCATTTTTGGGGTGAAAAATGGGATTTTTTTGGGGGTGGAAATGAGGTTTGGGAGGGGCCCAGCGGGCGCTGCCGCAGTTCACCCACGTCAGCAAAACTGGGGCGAAAAACCCAAATTTTGGGAAAATTCGGGAAAAAAAATGGAGTTTTTAGCAAAAAAAATGAAGTTTTTAGGTGAAAAAATGGAGTTTTTAGGGCAAAAAATGGATTTTTTATGGCTTTTTTTGGGGGAATAATTTGATTTTTTAGCGGGAAAATAAAGTCCAAAAATTGGGGAAAAATTTGGGGATTTTGGGAAAAAAAATTTGGGATTTTTGGGGAAAAAATTGGAATTTTTAGGTGAAAAAATGGGATTTTTAGCAAAAAAAATGAAGTTTTTAGGGCAAAAAATGAGATTTTTAAGGGATTTTTTGGGGGAAAAAATGGGATTTTGGGGGGAAAATGGACTCAAAAAATTGGGGAAAAATTTGAGGATTTTGGGAAAAAAATTTGGGATTTTTGGGGAAAAAAATGGGATTTTTAGGGTTAAAAAAATGGAATTTTTGGAGCATTTTTGGGGTGAAAAACGGGATTTTTTTGGGGGTGGAAATGAGGTTTGGGAGGGGCCCAGCAGGCGCTGCCGCAGTTCACCCACGTCAGCAAAACTGGGGTGAAAAACCCGGATTTTGGGAAAATTCGGGAAAAAAAATGAAATTTTTAGCAAAAAAAATGAAGTTTTTAGGTGAAAAAATGAAGTTTTTAGGTGAAAAAATGAAGCTTTTAAGGCATTTTTTGGGGGAATAATTTGATTTTTTAGGGGGAAAATGCACTTGGAAAATTGGGGAAAAAATTGGGGATTTTGGGAAAAAAAATTGGGATTTTTGGGAAAAAATTTGGGATTTTTAGGTGAAAAAATGAAATTTTTATGTGAAAAAATGGAGTTTTTGGGGCAAAAAATGAGATTTTTAAGGGTTTTTTTGGGGAAAAAATGGGATTTTTAGGGGAAAATGGACTCAAAAAATTGGGTAAAAATCTGGGATTTTTGGGAAAAAAATTGGGGATTTTGGAAAAAAATTTGGGATTTTTGGGAAAAAAATTGGGATTTTTAGGGCAAAAAATGAGATTTTTAAGGGATTTTCTGGGGGAAAAAATGGGATTTTTTAGGGGGAAAATGGACTCAAAAAATTGGGGAAAAATTTGAGGATTTTGGGAAAAAAATTTGGGATTTTTGGGGAAAAAAATGGGATTTTTAGGGTTAAAAAAATGGAATTTTTGGAGCATTTTTGGGGTGAAAAACGGGATTTTTTTGGGGGTGGAAATGAGGTTTGGGAGGGGCCCAGCGGGCGCTGCCGCAGTTCACCCACGTCAGCAAAACTGGGGTGAAAAACCCGGATTTTGGGAAAATTGGGGAAAAAAAATGGAGTTTTTAGCAAAAAAAATGAAGTTTTTAGGTGAAAAAATGAAGTTTTTAGGTGAAAAAATGAAGCTTTTAAGGCATTTTTTGGGGGAATAATTTGA